GGGCTGGAAATGGAGCCACATAGTGCATATGAATATCTAGAGCTTCAGATGGAGAATGAGCCCATAATCTTTCCACATAAAACATGCCATTTAAATACCCACCTACTCTTTCCTATTCTTAATAGATTACTTCCTCATTTTGCCTGTTTTCCCTCTGTGGCCCTGGAATATGTTTCATGGAAAATGTCCCTGCCCATGTACACATTCACTCCATAGGGGAGCCCCACTGAGGCCCCCTCCCCCCAACTGTGTTATTTCAATCGGAATAGTCCAGCAGAAACCACTCCTTTCCTGTCCTGCACTTTACAAAGCACTTACTCATCTAGTATTTAGATTTTGAGCCTCCAAACAACCTGAGAGATAGTTTGGTTAGATAATACTATCTCCATTTCACAGGCAGAACTCACCTCCAAAGGAAATTTGCCCAAGGACAAAGAACTAATGCCTGGGAAAACCAGGGCCAGAACCAGGTCTCAAGTCCCGTTCTCTTTTAGCTCTACCTTACACGCCCACCCACAGGAACACTGCTCCCCACCCCATCCTAGCCCCCAATCCCACATTTGTCAGTTCTTACTGGACATTTGCTAAGACTGGGGTCAAAGGAATAGAATGGCAGTGATATAGCATAAGACTAAAATCTCTTTTGACTTCATCAGTGTGAACACCTCAAAATGGGTCTAACCTGCCATGGACTCTGTGAGCTTCCTTCATTGGCAAAAACTGCTGCAGGTGCGAGAGGAAGGACCCCACGTACCTTGGCGTATCCACACATTTCACTTGGACAAGCAGCAAGGTTTGGTCCAGGCAAAACTGGAGCACCTAATCACATGGTGCTCTGTCAGATGAGCTCCTCTATTGGAAATAAGGTAGAGAGCTGCTCTCCCTGGGAATCAGGGACACAAGCTGGCATGCGAAGACTGAGATAGGTTTATCTGCCGAAGAAGCCTTGGGGGAGAACAGACAGCAGTTCTGCTGGTTTTGTAAGGCACTGCTGATGGTTTTGTAAATCTGTAGATGGTGCTGGGAATCATTTGCAAGCCGTGAACTGGAGTGCAGAACTGAGAGTGTGCTGGTGCACGACCCAGTGGCCTTGCCCACCCTGCCTCTTTGAACCCATGTGACCTTGGAAATACTACTTTCTCTTTCTCTGTGGGGGAGTTCAGTGCAATAGTGGAACCTGTAGGAATATGACCTATAGTACTAGTAGAACACCTGTAATGTTAGGAGCAGTACAGCCTGTGCCAAGATAATTCTTCCTGACTGCTCTAGCTTTCTCCCATCATGGGGCCTGAAATGCCCTTATTATTTGGCCTTTTATATCTCAAAGGCATTTAATATTCAAGAGTCCCCTGCAAAAATGTCAATTCCCTGAAAAGGCCATTTAGGTAAGAGTTTGGGGCATCCACTGCTGCCAGGTGCCCTCATGGCCTTTGATCAGATGCCTGGGTTTTGCCATATTTCCTTGGATAGGAGCTGGGTTGCTTCCGAACTAACCTACGCCAACTGAAAAGATACAGGGAAAAGAGTGTGGAACTTGGGGTCAGGAACCTGAATTCTGGCCCCAGTTTGCTGAATGATCTTAGGCAGGTCATTTATGGTCCCTCAGCTGATCCCAACTTGGCCCTTAGATTCACTGTCAGTCCCCATTTGAGGACCTACCATGGCCTCCAAGTTTTGCGATAGTGAAAGGAATGCCTAACAAGCAACTCCTGCTCTAGGTTGGCCAAAGGAACATCACCTCCATGTCAGACTCTGGTGAAGACCACAGTGGGTCCTAGAGATGAGCTATGTTCCTAGAGCTCCAGACAGTTTCTGGCGCACAGTCAGAGGTTTCTTCTAGCCTGTTCCACTAAGGGATCGGGGAGGGCAGAAATACACTTGACCTTAAGCTTTACTCCTTCAATTCACTAGTGCTGAAGTCTTGCTATTATCTAACCCAACCCATCCATTTTATCTATGAGGACCCTCAGGCTACAGAGGGGAAGTGACTTGGCTGCGTGGGTGCAGAGAGAGTTCAGGTCACTTCAAGGCCTGGATTCAAGGCTCTTCCTGCAGGTTTTCTGCCACACCACATTAATAGGCCTTCATTTGGCTCAAATTGGAGGGATTTGGGCAATAACTTTGAAGCTGAGATGAGCAGGATGGGACTCCAGTTCCATTCAAAGCCAATTCCTCATAAACTATCCTTCTCCAAACCAGAACCACCCCTCCCTAAGATGATTAGGAAAGTTCCAAGGGAAATCTTGGAAACTGAATCTTCCTCATGTAAAGTTGAGGAGTCAACTGAATCCCAATCTTTCCTCCTTTCCAAACATATATTCTTAAAATCTTGGCTCTTCCATCTGGGTGATGACCTTCAGCTTTATCAGACCTGTTCTCCTAACCTGAAGTGAAATCATCCTTTACACCTTCCTTAGCATTTTCTGAGCACCTACTAGGTGCTATGCACCATACTAACTTTGGAGAATCAGAGATGCTTGAAGACATGTGCCTCCTTAGAGAACTCAGCCGACCAGGAAGGATACAGATGATTAATAATCATGATGCAATGGGAAGAGATTCATGATCTTCTCAGGTGAGGTCTTGCCAGACCAGATCTCAGGGGTGAAAGCAAGAGGAGACCAAGTTCCTGTAGGGGCTGCCACCCCACCCACCAGGAGCATTCTTGCCAAGATGACAGACACCAGACCCCCAGTCCTCTAGCAGCATGGAGCTAGTAGATACTTATCCCACTTGGTGGTGGCATGTCGATGAATTGAATCATAAATATTTATCATCAAGTATGTACCATGTATGAAATGTTAGGGTACAAAAGATTGGGGAGATGAAAATTCAACTGCCAGTTTCTGCCATCCCAAAGCTAAAAATCTGGTTATAGTCACGAAAACTGGAGGACTGTGAAAAGAGCATGGGTTAGGGAGTTTGGTCCCCTGGATCTTAATCCCCCCTTGTGCAACTTTGGGCAGAACATCACTCCTCTGTGCCTCAGTTTGCTCATCTCTAAGTGGGGGTCAGGGCAAGAGCATGCATTGATGTTGACTGAAGACTGCAGTTGGTTGGTTTTTCCCTTAAAGTTTTGACTTTCTTTTCTTTCGGGTGATTTATGGTCTGAGCTAGGTTTATGGGAAGGAGGAAAAATGAAGCCAGGATCAGGTGGGAAGCTGGGTAACAGGAGCCACAGGGGAATGATGTTACAGGAGGAAGTCAGGTGGGGGAGAGAGATGACCAGGAGCTGCAGGAGAGAAGGCTGTCGGAAGGGCTGCTCTGCATGGGGGTTAGAAATGAGGACCTTCGCTGGTGCCACTGAACAGCCCTAGACAGGGGAAGGAATAAGTGCCAAGCTCCAGGGCCACTTGGCCACTCAAACCCCAAAATGGTAGTTAGTCAAATCGGGCCTCTTCAGAGCTGACAGTGTTGGGGGTGGGGGTGGGGGTGGGAGGTAGTTTGGTCCCAGGTCCATTGTGGCCCGTGAACATGGATGGGCCAGCAGGAGCAGGAAGGGCCCCAGTAACAATAAAGCCAGATCCAGATGTGGGATGTGGCCATACGCAGAAAAACCTGATCCCTAGAGTACAGAGCAGCCTGGTCCCAGCAGCTTCCTGCCCCACTGCCCCCACCCCCCAGATCCCTGAGTAGTTTCCTGCATCCATCAGACATGGCTGCCAGCCCTGGCATCTGAGCACGTTTCTAGCTCTGCCATGCATCACTTAACCAGCAGATCCGAGGGCTACTGACGCATACCACACAGAGCAAAGAGTCACGCATATTAAATTACTAAATCTTGTTAGAAACGAGGGCAACTTGCTCCTGATAGAATTGTTACATTGGTTGGGGGGGGGGGGATTCTTGGTGACTCCCATGAGATTTTTTTTATCACCAGTGTGGCGCCAGGGCTGTATTCTACCAGCCAGTTCTCTCTCCTTTCAAGAGCAGAACCTTAAAAGCAGTCCATCCCTGGGAGCTTTACTCCTTGAATTCCAAACTCCTTGGGATCTTTGGGTCAAAGCTACTCAGAACATTGTATATCATGAGAACAAAGCAAAGTGGCCTTAGGACACCAAGGCAGGCCAGAAGCACAGCCCATTTCTACAACCCAGGTAAAGGGGCCCAAAGGGACAAAGAGAAAACAAAATTGCAGAGAACAGAGCCCTTCTCACTTGTTTAACATCTACTGTTGTGGAGCAGTGGGAGGGAGGTTTTCTTTAGGGAGGAGCACGAGTGAGGGTGAGTAGAGTATCCTCTAAAACTGTAACAGTTCAGAGGGGATGCAATACTATTGTTTATTTCACACAGTCCTACTCATCCCTCCTTCCCCCTCAACAGACACAACAAATCCTACAAAGGAACATAGGATGTTTGTGCCCAGAGAAGCTGATGTGTGCCTCTTCCATGGACTCACATTGCCACCCCCATAAGAATCTCTCCTGCTGCCAAAGTCACTCGGATTTTCATGCAGTTAAGGTGCATTGTGGACATGGAGGGTTTCTTAGGCGGGGGAAGAATGTGGACTATGTCTCACTGCATTTAAAGTTCCATCAGGTTACATAAAGGGGAAACATGAGCTTCACCTTGCAAAAAGGAAAAGCGAAATTTGATGAGTAAACCAGACCTTAGGTGCTTTCTGGAATGTGTATTTCATCTAACCATTTAGTTTAGCTTTTGTCACACCACGCTTTTCCCAGTCAGGAGCAAATTAGTCTTCAGTTTTTGCTTTTTTCATTCAAAACATCTCTTCTTACACTAGTGATATCATCCTTGGAAGAAGAATCATGTATCACCTTCACATCTCTTCTAGAATTACATCAGCCAGAGCCCTGGGGTGCAGTGGGGATAAAAAGCCAAAAAGTAGAGGGTAGGGAGGAAGGGGAGGACACAGGCGGGGAGAGAGGAGGGGAGCTGTTCTTCTACAGTCTGCTTATTTTCTTCTTCCTCCTTCCTCAATCCCTAAGCCCCCTTCCCTATTTACCAATCAGATAACAGGGAAAATCAGACTTTAAGGAGACAGTTGCCTTATATTTATTGATGGGGTTGGTTCAGATTTCATTTGTCTGAACTTTTTGAGTAATCACTGTACCTCCATCGATCACATGTGAAAGCCAACAGTGGCATTCTCACTAGACACAAACTGAATGAGAATGAAGACACACAGACCCTGCCCTGCCCCCAAGTATTAGCTATATGATCTTCACCCTGTTTAATGTTCTATCAGTTTCAAACAGCAGAGGAACTTGGTAATATGTGGAATTAATTTGAAATGTGAAATCTAGTCATGCAAGACTGTCTGCCAGTTGGGTGAAAACCATTTAGAAGGCACACTGATGTGGGTGTCTGGGTAGGGTGGGATTTGACTTTCCTAACCTCTCTCTACCTGGGAGTTTTAAAATGTCATTCAGTGATATGTATCTAAGGTATCTGGAGACAGGGATAGGGACTATCAACCAAACCAAAATATAATAGATTCAAAGGCCTGGACCTTGTCCTAATGCCCTGTGACTGAATATTTTTCAATTATTTCCCACCCATCCTTTGCTTTGCTTTTCTAAAGATGGTCTTATGCCTGAACCAATCCCATTAATTATGAAGAAAATCTTTTATCCTCCCATCCTCTATAGTTCCAGTGAATTCCAAACTCCTTGGGATCTTTGGGTCAAAGCTACTCAGAACATTGTATATCATGAGAACAAAGCAAAGTGGCCTTAGGACACCAAGGAAGGCCAGGAGTACAGTCCATTTCTACAACCCAGGAAAAGTGGCCCAAAGGGGCAAAGAGAAAACAAAATTGCAGGAGGCATAGTTTTGGCAGCATCTTATTACAACTTCCAGCTGATTGACTGTAGCCAAACTAGAGACATCTGTTGGGAGTTTACAACAGAAACAAACACACAGAAAGCATGAAAACCCTGAGACACATGCACATACCCCAAGCTCTAAAAGCTCTTCTAAATGGCCTTGACCACCATACCATTCCTCCATTGGGTCATGTTGGGTTTGTAAAAGGAAGGAAAGAACTTCTTTCACCTGCCTCCCTAACCACCCCACTTGCACCATGACTCATTCCTGCCATCATTGGAACTTACCAGCTTTCCTTGGTCTTTGACTTTTCTCACAGGAAAAACAAAGCTGGTCCCATTCCTCAGAGAGCCCCCATGGAGACTTTCTTTAGATTTCTACTTCATCATTAAAGCTCCTTAAGCTGTTTGTAAAGTAAAAGTTGAACCACAGAAGGTAGTAAAACCTTAGAAGACCTTGAAAGTCACTCCTCCCTAAATAACCTCACAGCTCTGTTAGTGAGGAACATCATGCATCTCTAAGAATTGAATCGAAGACCAGAAAAATTAATTAAGACCACAAATTAATGAGTGAAGAATATGGCATATACTCAAAGAGAAGGCTGGTCCCAGCTGCAGCACCCAGAGTTGTGGAGGGCCAGAAAGGCCCCAGACTACACAAAAAGCGGGTTCCCCTTTACCCAATCACCTCTAAGCCCTGAAAAGGCCAAACCCTGTCCTACCACAGCTTGCCAGCCATAGACACACCGCCTCCCATTTTCAGCAGCAGTTCCAGACGCTCACCTGTTCTGTTAAATGTTCCTCTTTATTCTCTCCCCACTGACGTGCAAACAGAACCAGGGCAATGCTCTTAAAAAATAACAAAATGCTTTATACACATTTCTGTATATACAATTGAACATTTTTACATGTCCCTTTTGCACAGCAAAAGATAGAAACATTCAACTCCGAGAACAGTTATGTACAAAAAAAATGTCAAAAATACTTCACAACAGTGCAAAAATATTTTACACAGTATCATGGAGTGAGATCTTTTGAGCAGGAGGAAGGTGTGTTTCTAAAGGAAAACTCCGTTTTCTTAGATATAGATGTCTTTAACTGTAAACAAAAAATGCAAGTTACTTTCATCCCCTCTACCTCCAACAGTTATTTGAGGAATTTGGCAGAATTTCAAGGGTCTGAATCTGAGGTAAACAACCCAAGCTCCTGCACCAAAAAGACCAAAAAGATGGGCAAGGAGGTGGCATGAAAGCCTCAAACGTTGTGAGAGTAAATTCTTTTTTTTTCAAATGACCTGTCAATGACAAGCACTAAGCCGCTCTCAATTAGGGGGTGGGAGGAGGAAGTTAACCCCTCCTTCTCGGGCCCCAGCTTCCCCACAAACAGGAAACTGGCCCGCAGACACCTCTTGCCGGCCTTGGCTAACATCGGCAGGCCCTTCTTTCACCCTGCACCCTAGAGGGCTGCCTCTCTCTCCTTGTAGGGTCTGCCCTCCCCATCGGCGCACACCTCCCCACATCTCCACGTGCAACCTGGGCCCCGCTTCAAACGGAGCCAAAGATGTTGAGGGAGAGGGCCAGGTAGAACTCTGGACCTCAAATGTCCTATATCCTCTTCCCAGGGGGCGGGCGAGGGTGGTGGGAGGTGAGGGACTCAGGAGGTTGTGGGGAGGCACGGTGGGTGGGGTGCCAGGGACGCGCGCAGGAGCTGGTGGGAGCTCAGCCCGAGAGGGTCTCGTCTGGGCTGGCGGTCTCAGCTGGGCCAGACCCATCCCCCGCGGTAGCAGAAGTGGCATCTGGGCCCCCGCCTTCGATGGAACTTTCGCTGCCGGTGCTCTCGCCGGACAGCAAGCGCGTTACCCGCAAGTCGTCCTGTAGGCTGCGCACGTCGTTGCCGAAGCTGAGCTCGCCCAGATCATTAATGAGCTGCGACAGCTCGGCCTTCATGTCGGAGGCGCTGCCCAGGAGCAGAGGCGGTGGCCCAGCCCCTGGGCCCAGCGAGACCCCGCCACCCCCCAGCGCCTCCTCGCGGCCACTCTCCAGTGTGTCCAGCAAGTCCCCACATTCAAAGTGCATGGCCACCACTAGTGCCCGCTGCACCTCGCCTTCCTCTGCCGAATCACGCTCCCCGGCACGGTCCTCCTCCTCCTCCAGGAAGCCCTCGGTGTGTTCCTCTACCTCTTCCTCCTGCAGCTCCTGCTCCTGCTGTTCGCCCAGCAGGTCCTCAGTGATGGAGCCGAGCTTGGGTGCGCTGCGGCTGCGCTCCACTGGTGGTTTGTAGCAGCACGGTCCATGCAGAAGCAGCTTGCGCAGCGGAACGAGCGGGATGGTGTGCGCGCCCACTAGCTCCTGCTGCTGGTGGCGCGCGTCGTCCCGCCGTTTGAGCCGTTTAAATTCCGCTAGTGCGTTAGCAGACGTCTGGTAGAGCAGCAGGGCCATGGCCTGCGCCTTCTCGGGCTTGGACACCAACACCGCGTGGCAGCGCAGCATTACCGCCTTGTGCTTGAGCTCGTGCCGGTACACCCAGGCGAAGACCTTGGGCAACCGCGCATCCGCAACGCAGTAGGTAACGCGGTGCAGCAGGTATAGGTGGCCCGGGCGGCGCAGCGCGCGCTCCTCGGCATGCACCATGCGGATACCCTGAGCACTCACAGTCAGCTTCATCTTGGTGCCCTGACGGCCCGCCTCGCTCTTGCTCCAGATCTTTCCTACCGCTAGGTCCGTGCAGCCTTCGCCGCGCGCCTGGATGGTGGTAGCATTGCCAAGGTAGAGAACGGTGTAAGTGGGGTCCTCGCTGGTGATGTGCAGCTTCTTGCGCTTCGATCGGAACATGCTGCCCACCCGGCTGAGCGCGCCTTCGGGGCAAGCGCGAGCCAGTGAGCTGAGCGCCGAGTAGTGCAGGCTCACTGCGTAGCCCTTGGGCTTGGATGCCTGCCGTGGCGGCGCCTCGGCCAGCAGCTCGAACTTGTGCTTCTTCCACGGCAGCATCTCCGGAGGGCGCCCCCGCACAACTGGGAGGCGGCGGCGGGGCGCGGGGTGCGAGCCCGACTGAGCCACCCGCCCCGGCCGGGCTTGGCCCGGGCAAGACAGAAAAATACAACTCTCTTGGTAGGGAGTATGGGAGGCGGGGTTGCGGGGTAGTGTTAGGGAACCCCGCCGAAAGGTGAAGGGTAGAACCTTTTTTTAAAGACGAAAATATTCAGCTGAAGTTGGGTGGGGGGGCTAGGGACGTGGGGGGTGGGGGAGGACACACAGATTTAGCGCACACAGATTTCGTCCAGCCTGGGCAAGGACAAGGGCAGAGTCTTAAGAGAGCAAAATGAAAGACGGAACGAGAGTGGAGCGGAAAACGCCTTCAGAAAAAAAAAAAAAAAAAAAAGATGCGCGCGTGCAAATAGAGGGAACCCAGTAAAAGCAGCCGGGATGGTGAGAGAATATGCAGGAACTCCTCGACGAGCGTGAAGAAGGTACACACACACACACACACACACACCACACTCCTCGGGGCTGGGGCCAGAAACCGCGGAAACTCAATAGCGAGTGTGCCCAGCGGCCCGCGCTCCTCACCCTCACGGGGTGCCGGAGACAGAGAGCCCCTCGGCCGGGCTGGCCCCAGAATCAGCCCCTGACCTCAAGTGCAGTCCGGTGCTGGGTCGGGCTGCCAACCGCGGGCTCCGCGCAGCAGTCTGGCAGTGGCTCACCGCATCTTCCCTCCGGCCAAACGCCGGGGACTCGGGCTCAGCCGGCTCACTGTCCCGAAAGGCTCCGCCGAGGCAGCGCGGGCTTCCGAGGGCCTGGCGCGCGCATGGTCCGCTCCGGGAACGGTCGCTGCCTCATTTCTTCTCTCCGCTGGGTGTCCGCCTCCTCTCCCAGGATCCCCTCGGTCGGCTGCCCGCCTTTGCAGAGGCGCCCCTCCCGTGCTGCGAGGGCTGACCGGCTCTCCAGCTTCACATCCTTGCTGTCCCGAGGAAGATCTCGGGTAAATATAGGCCGGCGCGAACCATTCGCCGCGCGGCGGCAGGGGAGGAGCAGAAAGAGGATCGGTTTCAGACTTGGACGCCTGGCGGGTTCCTGATCTCTTAAAGGGACCTGGTTATAACCCGTGGTGGAGGGAAAGGAGAAACCGGTCCAGTCCGGCAATGATGTCCCAAATTTACCAGCATCTTTTATCTACAGATATCGCCAAGACCTGGGGTTACCCCTCAAGAAAAAAAACTTGAATTCTGACACTCCGCGCCTAGACTGAATGGCAACTCACTGAATAAATGTGTGTATCCATCGAAACTTCTGGGGGAGGTGGTGGAAGGTGGAATTTAGACTAATTTACTATGCAAAAAAGGTTAGGGAAACACTGGTTCTTTCCTTGTGCGACAGTTCTCTGAGAATAACTGGGTGAAAAAATGTTTTCAGAATTTTATTCTATAAAAGAAAATACAGAGGGACAAAGAAATCACCAAGCCATCTTTCATTCTTTTGGAGCCCTTTCTCCACACGTAAGCAGCAGATAGTGAAATGTGAGATGAATGGTCGTAAGAAGACTGGAGTGAACAATATAGTATATAATCCATAAATAAAGAGCTTCCTGCTCCTAATCCCCAGCAGTGTCCCCGCCTATATGCAGGCCTCGGAATAAAGCAGTTTTCTGAGATAGTTACAATTTCTAAGTAATGCTTGTGTGTGGTTAGAACTTAGCTTACTTTGGCAGGCCAGTTTGTCGTTCAGTTTTCTTATGTCATTGCTGAATTTGGGGTGAGAATTCCTAGCAATAATTCAAATAACTTTTTTATTTGAGTGTCAAATAATACCTGGCCACCTTCTCCTGTGAATGACTACCACATTAATCATGCTTTTCTCTTGTGGCAACTGGACAGTGTGGCTTTAATTATCTGACCATCTTGACCCTTGGCTGGTAACTCATTTCTGGGCCCTTGAAACAACCTGCTTGTCTCTATGGACTGCTCAGTCAAAGCAAAAGAACTTATAGCTGGAATGTGTGATAAATGTCCATTTGATACTGCATCAAGCCCCCGAGCTCATCCTGGAGGTGGCCAGTACATCATGCTACCCCACAGGCCTAGTTCATTGGGGATCTTGTATGTCACTGGCTTCCATGCCAGGTCCTAATTTCAGAACCACTGTAAATTTTCTGGTGATCTGCCCATGCTAACTTTTAACCTTTCTTTGAACTCTAACCCAATTTTCTCTGAGTCATTGGTTCCAAGTTTGAATTTAACTTTTCTGAGCACTTTTTGGTGCCAGGCCCTGAGCTAGAAACAGACCCAATTCCTCTTTGCAAGAAGTTCCCAGTTGAGTGAAGGATGTAAGCTCCATCCCAACTCTGAGTTTACATGGATGTGGGCTCTGTAACAGCACCCTGTCTCCTCCAGTACCTGGTACAAATAGGTACTACTTAATTGTTGAATTAATGAATGACACACACATGTGAAGAAGAAGACAAAGTGGGTTAAATGCCCTGAGAAAGACCCAGGGTACTATGAGAAGCTGGAAGAAGGAAAGGTTCATTATGACTAGAAAAATCAGAAGAGGCTCCACTGAGGAGGTGATGTTTTCCAAGTAGGGACGAATTAAAGGGCTTTATGGGTATAGAGGATAGTAAAGTCCACATGAAAACACCTGTACTTGTGCAGATGTGGATGGAGTTTAATGATTGTAGCAATGAAAGAGGGGTATTTCCTGAGTCTCTAGGGAAGGACTGGCCTTTTCATGGCTGACTGGCAAGAGGGCATCTTTAGATCAGAGCTGTAATACCCTACTCCTCAGCTGCATTAATGAGTTAATGGAGGGATAGCAGACGTGGTGTTGGAAGGAGCTAGTTAGGACATCAGTAAGCCACTTAAGCCAAGGTTAATACTCCTGCTCCAGTTTCTTAATGAACTAGATAGTATGTGCTCCAAACCAAAATCTGTAGTAACACTGGAAGTTAACCTGTGCTAAGTGACCACAGGTCCTTAGCTAGCTGGTCCACAGTCTCAAAGTCTACACTCCACAAAAGTAGACATCATGTCCAAGCAGTTAACATTTCCAAATTGCTCAGAGGTCCAAGGGTCAGAAGAGTTTGGGGAGGAGGAGGAGGGACCACTGGGGGAGGTAAGGCTGGTCTCAGCCTCCCACCTTGGGCTTCATGTGGTGGCAGAGAAACCAATGAAGCATGGGGGTGGGGGGACTCCACTGGCAGGCCAGGCTTTTCAGAGGCAACCATGGTATCAGTCCCATACACACAGGCCCAAAGAGCTGTTCCTGTGGACTGGTCTCTGCCATGCTTGGACTACCTTCTTAAGAAGCTGGTTTTCAACCTTGGGAGAACAGAAAGGTTCTAGGCAAATGCAAGCACTCCATTGTGTGAGTGATGCTCGGTGCCTGTGCTCGAAGACCCAGGAGGAAGAGCAGGCTGTCTCCTGGAGCTTTGGGCCTGGGCCCACCTCACTTCATGGAGAAGCTGACCACCGCTCTTGAAAGCACAAGTGGCAGCCGAGGCTGTGGATGTTCAGCCAGGACAGCTGGCAGCAGTGTTGATGAGCCCACACCACAGATCTGAGACAGCCCACACACATCTGCCAGAACACACCACCAGCAAAGTCAGCTGGGAAACGCGCTGGACTGCATCAGGGGCAGACGGCACTTTTTTTTTAGTGACACCGCCCCATCTACTGGTGCCAGGCAGAAGTGCCGCGTGGTGACATGGTTTCTCAGAGAACCTGAGGAGCCAGTGGTTTAGTCAACACACCCAAGTCACAGCTGGAAAGAAACCTGGGCTCTCACTTGACATCTGAGAGTCAGCCTTTTAGCTCACAGAAAACTTTCAGGCTGGCTTTCTCCCACCTTAATTCTTGCATAATGTTCCTCCCTCTTGGGCTCCCTCCCCCAACATCCCACTGAATGAACGTTGGCTTCAGAGATGACAAATGACAAATCTGAAATCTTCAAAGTCATTCAACAAATATTTGTTGAGAGTACTGAGGATGGGATGTGTGCTGGGGATATTGTACTAAAGAAGACAGACAGGCCTCATGGGATTTATATCCTATGGGAGGCAAGACAATAAACTAATAAAATTATCAGACAGTGATAAGTCTCTGAAGAAAACAGCTGTATCAGGAGTGGAAGGTGGCTGGTCTAGACAGTGTGGCCAGCGAAGGTGTTCTCTAGGCAGAGACCTGGGTGAGGTGGAGCCAGCCAGGCAAAGGTACGGGGGGGGAGAACATTCTGTCCTGTACTGACCACCATGGTAGTCACTAGCCACATGGGGCTATTGAGCACTTGAAATGTAGTTGGTCCTAATTGAAATGTGATACAAGTGTGAAATATATACAAGATCTCAAATACTTAATAAGACAAAAAGAATGTAAAATATCTCAGTAATTTTATAATAATTAGATATCAAGTGATAATATTTTGGCTATGTTGCATTAAATAGAATATGTTATTAAAATTAATTGTGCCTGTGTCCTTTCATTCTTTTAATGTGGGCACTAGAACATTTACAACTATATATATGAACAGAATTGTGCTGGGCAAAGGGTACGGCTAATGTGAAGGTGTTAAGGTGGGAATGAGCTCAGCACATTCAAGGGCTCTCTGCAGACTTGTACATTAGTGTTAATTTAATCCAAGTTTATGGTAATTTGTATAGCAGCAATACACCTTCCATCCAGCCATCTTCAAATGTCCCACTGTGTGATCATCACCTCTGATTCTTCCAGCCCTCTTCCTTCCTAACTCTTAGCATATCCATTCTTTAACCTCCTCAAGACCTCCAGGATCTACAGCAGGCTTCCTCACATTCCTGGATCACACCCCTAAATCAGAATCTCTGCTTAATCTCCTTCATGATTGAACACATATAAAAATTTAGGATGCCCTGCCCTAGCCCACTTCATTTATCTCACTATTAAGTACTTCTAGCCTTTTATCCTTCCCTTCCTCCCCATCCAAGTCATTCCAGATGAGCAATGAGTCCACGATTTCTGTACACCACATCCACCCAGCAGAGCCCCAACCCTGGACCACTACCACAGTCCATATGCTGTGCTCCTTAGAGCTGGACAGCTAGGGAGAATCCTGAGTGGAATCCTAAAAATGGCTGAGTAGGATTAGCTATTCAGGTGGTGCTTTGATACATTCTCACTCCTCCTGTGGTAGGCAGAATAATGCCCCCTCCCCCAAAGATGCCTATGTCCTAATCCCAGAAACCTGTGTATATGTTATATTACGTGGTAAAGGGGAAGGACAATCACAGATCGATGTAAGGTTACTAACCAGCTGACCTTAAAATAGGGAGAGTACCCTGAATTATCCAGATGGGCCTAATGTAATCACCTGGGTCCTTCAAAGTGGAAGTGGGTATCTCAAAAACATCATGCTAAGTGAAAGAAGCCAGACACAGAAGGAGTTCATTTATATGAACTATCCAGAATAGGTGAATCCAAAATGACAGAACACAGATTGATGGTTGCCAAGGGCTGGAGGGAGACAGAAATGGGGAGCAGCTGCTTAATGAATATGGGGTCTCCTTTTGGGGTGATGAAAATGTTTTGGAACTAGATACAGGGTGTGGTTGCATAACATTGTGAATGTACTAAGTACTACTTAATTTTTCACTTTAAAGTGATTAATTTTATGTTATATACATTTCATCTCAGTTTTTTTTTAAGTGGAAGATGGAAGAAGAGAGAGCAGAATGATGTGATATGAGACGGACTCAACCCTCCCTTGCTGGTTTTGAAACTAGAGGGAAAGGCCACAAGCCAAAGAATTCAAACAGCCTCTAGAAGCTGGAAAGGTAAGGACAAATTCTCTCCTAGAACTTCCAAAAACAGACCCTATGACACCATGATTCTGGCCTTGTGAGACATGTACTGAACTTGTACCCTGCAGAATTGTACATTAGTGTTAATTTAATCCAAGTTTATGGTAATTTGTATAGCAGCAATACACCTCCCATCCAGCCATCTTTTCTCTCATTCCAATTCCATTT